AAAATCGATCACCATTAACAAGGAAACGTATACGTTTAGCTTTACGTGCTGCTCTTCCAACATCAGATTTTTGTCTGGTTGTGCATTCCTCATTTGAGATTGATCTTGATGTTCTGAGGGCCACAGCTTGCATTTTTATTGATTTATTACTTTTTATACATTGTTCTTCAACCATTATGATGTTGTATTCATACTCATATGATCATCCTCACCTAAAATATAAATATCTAAGTTAATATAAAATCAGTAACTACTACATGCATTTTGAACTTTAATTCAGTTTAACTACTATTTGCAGTAAAAAAATATATTAGGTGTACTAACTCAAATTATTATTATGTTTTAGCAGGTGTACCTAGAGAGAATTTTTTTTTTTACAAACTTTAGGTATTGTAAATAATCTAAAATATTTAATATTCGTAAAAAAATTTTACAGTTACAAACTATGTAAAACAGGAGTGCCCAACCCTCGGAAGTATTCCAACTGGCCCGTGATTAGATATAAAATTAGAAATTTCTATGGGTATAAATTAAATTAAAAATTAAAAAAAAAAAATAATGTATTTCAATAAGCTTTTAAGAATTATAAAATATTTTACAATTTTTAGTTTTAATAAAGTAACGAGAGTCATACATTTGATTAGTGATCAAAGATAATAATTAATAATATACCTATTGTATATTTTATCAAAATTAACTGGTATATACAACTCACATTATAAATATAAATTTCAAATGTGGCCCTTCAAATTGAAAAAGGTTGAGCATGCCTGATATAATATTTAATTATGCAATATATAGTGTATGTTATGTTTGCAATAGTTTTTAATTTTTAGTAATAAATGTATTTGTTTCAAATGTCCTCATGTTTAGTTTAAATATGTGGGAAACTGCTGTCAATGCACAATAAAGATAACATATCTATGTTATTAATATGATTGGGGTATTTGCATGTTTATAAAAAACACATGTGTATATAAACAAATTACCAATAGCATATTTAACAATTAAAATTGTTTTGATTACCTAATACAAAAACTTATGTTTTGATTAAAAGATATTTAATTGATTTATGACATAAACATTTGCACCGTAACATCTTTGAATAATCGAAAATACTATTTTCAAATTTCAAATAAAAGAATTTAGTTACAGGGTTTATGATTAAGATTAAAAATAATTGAATGTAAAAATAACACTGTAATATTTTTAGTCGTTCATTATTATTATTTAGTTGAAGTACATAAATTAAAGAATACAACTCACATTCACATACATAATCAAAACCAGGGACTGGAACCGAAACTAAATATTTTCAAATAACCAGAACCCATATTTTTAAATAAATCTGATTTTACTTTAATTTTTTTGTGTTTACCTTCTTTGCCTGTGCTCAAGTTGGCTATAAGAAGTGCTTAGGTGCTTTTGAAAACTATTATTACTTTTGTTTATAGCTGTAAAATCAGAACCATTAAATTAAATTTCCAAAACCCTGAACCGGAACCCCATATTGAAATAATTAAGAACAGGAACAGAAATCGAAAACTTGAAGGTACCAGTCTCAGATCATTGATATAAAACAGTATAAGTACATGTAACACGTTTCACAAGTAACAATTCAATATAATTAAAATTATACTAATTATAAGTACAGTAGCTAAAGTAATAATTACTATACTAAACTGTGGATATTGAAAACACTTAGGTTCTAATAAGAAATAAAAATATAAAACTTGACAGTAATTGTAATTATATAACACCTAGATAAAATTACATAAAATTGGTTTTGATTTAAAGCTTTGTAAAATAATAAAATGATCAATCATTTAAAAATCTTGATTGTGCCAATTTTAATTTAAAATGTATTATTAAACAGAAATAATATAGATTTAAATGAACTTTTAATAATAAAATGAGGTTCATTATAATATAAAAGTATTAATTGTGACTGAAGACACCATTAATAATGAGAGTAATTGACTGTTAATATAATTTATAAGACATAGGTAGCATATGTTTTTTAAACAATTAATTCTAATAAGTACCTATAATAACAACCTACAAATTATACAAATTAAAGTAAAATGTATAAAAGGAAATTCTGAATAGGTATACCTACACAATTTTGCTCTCATTCATGATTTTGTATGTATGTACAGTTAGGTGTAAATCACCTAACTGTTAATAATTATATGATAAAAAAAAAAATACATACATAAAATGTAATATAATATAGATAAGTACTAGATAGGAATAATCTAAATAAATTCTATGCAAAAAATTGTTTTTATTTATAGTTGGATAAAATAATAATTGGTCAATTTTAAACATTAAATATAAATAAATAAAATATATTGATAATATAACAATACTAGAATTTCAGCTCAGTGCAACATGTTTTATGTTACAATAGGTTATAATATTTGCTATTTTAATAAAAGATAATAGCATTTACCTTTGAACTGAACAAAATGCTGATATATTTTGAAATAAATAATGATAATAATAGATAAGCATTTGACCACCTAATTTACTCTTTACATAATGTGATGTTCAATGGCTTAAGATAATTGAACAGTTAAATAATAATTCAGTTTAGATTATCAAGGTTGTTGAAAAAAAAAGTTAACATATGGAATCACGTATACAAATGTTGACATTTCAATCATTACCAAAATAGGAGAGATGTTTCAGTACCTATTATTTAAGTTGACATGATTAAGTATGGTTCAAAATTTTAAAATGATTTATTATAGATGACAAGGTTAAAAAAATTATTAATTCAATAAAAATAGAATACTCATAGGCTACAATGATGTAATAATTCCGCAAGCAATTAATACAATATTACCTACATACAACAAAGATACAAAATATTATGATTGAGTGATGATTGGCAAAACTTCAACTGTTTTTTTTTTGTTTGGAAGTTATTTACTTTTTAGGAAGGATGGTTTATTCGTTAAAAAGTCTTTTTGACTATTTACACTTAAGCTGACAAGAAAAGTTTTTAAGGATAGTATAATTTTTTGTAATATTATTTAAATACTTAGAGATTGAAATATAAAAAGTATAATAAATAGTTTTATAACTAAAAACATTTTGATAGGTGAGTGTTATTACAGCCGTTGAGATAATTACAAAATTTCATAACTCAAAACATTTTCAAGTGAAATTTATTTTTATTTCCCTTGAATTTAGAGTTATCTAGACTCAACTCAACAGATGGATCTACCAACTACAACTAGATTTGTAGGTAACTAAAAATAAACTTAAAGAGTGGGTTTTATGAAAACAATTTTTGAACTTAAAACATAGGTACCTAATCAAATAAGAATGTTGAAGTATAATCTCCGTACTTTATTTGTGTTACTAAACGTCGACCTAACACAATCTTATCAATACTATTTAACACATGTCAACATATTTAATCAGTAGGTATTTTACTATTCTACGATTAATCAAATCAGTTGTTTATATTCAAATAAAACAGTTCAACTAGGTGGGTAGGTTTATCCAAATTCATATTAATATTTTAAATCACACCAAACAAATTAATTATTAAATAGTTGTTATAAAATGTAGATAGGTCGTCAAGCATTTAATTCCACGAATAGTCTAACAATAAACATTTCAAGCATATCACAAACTTATAAAAATCAAGTAAGAAAAAAAATTACATTTTATGCTGTTTATATTTTATCACCTTTGTAAGGAACAAAATGTGGTTGTTGGCAGACGGTTACAAGATAAGTACATACTTAGCCAGTGTTGTTTAGAAGGTTAGGTACCTACAATGAAGGAGTGCCAAAAAGTTCTTATGCACAAGAAAAATACCTTTAGGTAGACATTAAAAATTTTCATGTACATGGTGTGCGTACTGATAGTAATTAGATTAAACATAGGTAGGTAGGTGAGAATTAAAAAAAAAGATTTTACTAGGAAATAGGTGCAACATCGTACATTTCCCTTGACAGTAACAGGGAATATTAATCTAAAAAAAATCACACTAGTAGCAGTGAGCCCAGTGACAACGTGACCTATCGTTAAGCGTATGACAATATTGCATGTTAATCAAAAGGAATAAATGGTTTAGCGGCTAGTGCCGACGTCTACGTGTTAGCTGTACAAAATAAATGTGTCCACTTACATGAAATCATTGAGTATGTGAAGGTGTCATCTCCGAAGTCTCTTATCGAACAGAGACGACTGTCGTCCGGAGACCAAAGGTGCTAAATATAGAGCGGCCGGTAAACGACTTTGGAGCTAAAACTTTGGACCTCCGAAGACTTTCCGCGTGAACGCAGCGGGAAAAGAAATACGAATGAGAAATGAAAATAAAAATAATAAAAATAATAATAATAATGGTGGGTGAAAAAAAAAAACGATAAGGTAGAGAATAGATACGATAAGCGGCGAGATAAGTCCGGTGCTGCCAACAACGACACGTCGGTTGTGCCAACTCAAGCGGAACTATAGGTTATCAGCATTTTAGTAATAAAAACTACTATAATTATTGTATACTCAGAAGTCAGAAGTACTCTCATAGAAATCGGGAATGTGAACATTTATCTATTTTGTGATGTGAATAATATGAAAGTATGAACTACGTCCAAATATACATGATCCACCGAAGACCAAACAAGTAGTGGATCTCAGAAAATTTTTAATTAGTGACCAAAAACAGCAGCTACTGACCAGCCATTAAGGATAGTATCTTCACTATCTTTAGTGGCCGTGGATTTGACTTAGCCCCGCCTTTAGACATTTTTCATTGATAACGGCCCAATGGCCAATGCCCCATGGTCAGACGTCTGATAAAGACCGCTCGACAACAGTCGGCGACGATAAAATTCATTATTATCCTAATAAATAATATACATTTCATAATATTATATTCTACTCTGTCAATCACTGCAGCTGCCTTCGATCTGGAACGGGAGAGTCTGTAATTCTGATATTTCGAAGTTTCGACTAACGACAATGATCGTCGACGTGTTATGACGGTGTCGGGCAGTTCAATTGTTTTTCACACGTTTAGTGGTGACGAATTCTTGCTCGGCCACCTCGATATGGACACCTACAACGAGGATTTGTTGTTCTGCAGATTCTGTTTGCGTGTCACACAGTCATCGTTCCCGATCTTCATGGATTCCGACCCAGACTTGGCCAGAGACGTGATGAACTGTCTTCAAATCAAGGTACCTACTCAGTGGCTAGAGGTATCGAACATTTGATATCTGTTGTCATTTTTATTCTTCCTCTTTTTCTTTTTCTTACCTTGATTGTGCGTTATGTGTTATCGCAGATCACTAAGGATTCTATCGGCCCGAAACACATATGCAACGAGTGCTATGATCGCGTACAAGATTGGGTGATGTTCAAAAAACAGAGCGAAGAGGCTCTAAAGGAAATCGATTCCAACTCTGATTTTGTCGAGAGAGAGGTACGTCTGTAAATGTCTTCCCTAAATGTATCTAGATCTACGTTTGACATACCATTTGATTTCTAGCCAGTGTCAACCACAAATGATTTTATAGACCTTGTTGACGAAGTGGATTACCATTGCTGTATATCGTGCGACAATATTTTTCCTAATGAATACGAGCTATCAATACATGTGAGTGAAGTTCACCAAGATATAGATTTTAAACTTGAAAGAGATGAAATCATGGACATTCAGTCAACATTTGTTGATGATGACTTTATCCAGTGTGATGAATACTTGGAGGTATTCCACAACAAACCTCCATCTCTAAAGGTAAAATATAATTCATAAAGTTATTGACTTGAAAAGTTTTGCTTAAACTAACCTACCATATTGTTCTGAATCCTAAATTATATCATTCACAATAATTAAATTTATAATGTCATACTCTGTTAGAAATGTAGAATCAAGTGTATTACCTATTACAAAATGATACGTTTGATTAAAAATTGAGAATTTTAACACATAAGAAACCGGGTAGTCATCCATCTGAGAACTAATGGCATCGGCCTGTGCTAACTTTCTGATCATGTTTTTTGGCTGATTACAACCACCACGCCACACCAACCCATTTTTATAGTATTATTTTAATGAAAAAATTGTTCTTATAACAGGCAAAATATTATTAATTTAATTTTTTTTTTCAGATGCATTATGGTGAATCTAAAATTAAGCAAACCGTTGAGGATATGGATGAAAAATTTCAATGTTATTATTGTAGTGCACAATTTGACGAATTTATACACTTAAAAGAGCATTCAGTAGCCAGACACCGTGATTTGAATAAAAAAACCGAATGTAACAAATGCAACAAAATATTTCTGACTGTCTCTGACCTACAAGAGCATGTAAAGCTAACACATCCGACCAAAAAAGATAAGGGATTATCAGAGAACCCAACGTTGAGGACATCAAAGAGGTCACCTTACATATGCCACTTATGCAATAAGACTTTCTCAAGGTTCTGTGATTTGTTAGACCATGACGAGATACAACACGATGATTTACCAAAAAAGTATAGGTGTGGCGTGTGCAGCAAAATGTTTCTGATGGAAGACAGGGCAAAAGTACATTTCAATTTCTATCATACTAAAACGAAAGGTTCAGTGAATTTCCAGTGCAGCTATTGTGGGATGGAACTCAAAAGTGCTTCAGCTGTAGCCAACCATGAAAGAATGCACATCACTCAAAATTCTTCAAAAATCAAATATAACATAATTAGAGACTGACAAACGCACATTATAATTGTTGCTATACTTAATATGATACTTTATTGTTAATTTAAGTTTTAATCCTTAAATTCTTAAGTCCTTGACTATGAGGTGTCTGTTGATTTTATGAATCTAATTATTGTAAACAATATGCATATGTTATTTTCAATACTTAATTCATTTTCACAATGTTTGAATCATTAGTTATGTGAATTTTTATTTTATTCTAGCTGAACGTTTGGTTCAGATTGAATGCTTATTCTTATATATTCAGCATGTGTTAATGTGGTTTTTTATTTAATCATATTTAAGTATTTAACAAATATATAATTGAAGAAAATATGTTTGAATGTAATAATTGGATTTTTATGTGAAAAAAAAAAAAAAATTGTAAATATATTTGTTATCAGTCATCTAAACTGCTGAGAACTACTATTAATGTACTGGTCTTCAGTAATATTTTGTATTTGTGTTAAAATATATTTATTACATTTTTAAAAATAAATAATATGAAAGACGAAATTAAAATTTTTATTTAATTATATAAAAATAAATTATTGTTAACAAAGTTATTATCTAGGAAATGGTAAGTTTAATAATGTTGTGCTTGAATGGCTGCTCACAATTACTTAAGTAAAATGTATACTCAAAGATATATAATATTTTATTTTTTTGTCTAGTATTCTTATGTAAGTGGTAATGTGGCATAACATATAAGTTCTTACATGAGACATGTCAGTTAATACCATACATCATATCACATTGTCATATTATGTAAGTTCCTATACACTGAACACCAGATAAAAACCATTCATATTATGTAAGTTTCTACTAGCTAGTAAAAATTAGTTTATAATATTATGTTAGTTCCTAATTTCTACAGTGTGCAGAAGCAGTTGGAAAACCGCTGCACAGTAGTACTTTCCCCAAATACTCAGCAGTTTAAAACCTTTGTAACGACTGGGCATTTAAGTCTTACGATGGAAAAAATTTCTAGATATAGGTGCAGGTATGTGTGCCGTTCAGAATTTCTATTGCATAATATATCAGAAAAGGTGCGTCAGTTAACCGATGCATTATTTAGTGATTTTCGGTTTTTATAGAAAACATCGACACATTTGAGGCGACATCGGTGGTTAACAATGAGGAGTGAATTAAAATTAAATGTATTTGTCTAAAAATCGACTTAGACTAGATATGTTCGAACGATACGTGATACCAAATAATAATATTTAATAATAATTGTAAAAGATTAGTTATTGCTAACACAGTTTTTCTTAAAAACCATAAATCATAGGTAGTTAATATTATAATATTTTTGTTTTGTATTTTAGGTATTTTTAAAAAAAAAACTTATGATAATGTCCTATACTATGGTATAATATACATTAGAACTGTGGTACTGAGTGGTAGGTACTTGCAACTTCACTAACCTTAAACCAGTATTTCTCTTAGCAAAAAAATGTAAGGGGATTCCACACGGTGATATTCTGTCTTTGTCTAACACACGCGTGGCTGAGGATTTTAGACGTGTTGTGTATATGATATTATTATTACGATTATAATATTATTACCTACATAAATCAGTTTCTAGTGTAAACAATCATTAAAAAAATAAAATCGATCAACTGTATACATTTTAATTAAATTATTAATTTTGTTGATATAAATACAAAATACTTTATGTTTGATCAAATGTTATGAAAAATAGCAATAGTAAAATTATCAAAATTTATACTTAATCACTTATCAATAGTTCAATGTATTATAGCCTGTTATTATAACATGTTAGGTATACTATTGGGAGCAGTAGAGGATCCAGAAGTCACCAAAGGGGGGGGGGGAATTTTCAAAAATTAAATTGTCTTTTTCCTTCGCCCCCCCTTCTCGTATCAGCCACTGATTGGGAGTAAACCAGAAAAATTTTCCCAAACTTGTTTTATTCTTGTTTCAACAACATTAGACCTATTTGCTTAGCTCGAACAAAGTCTTAAAATTATAGTTATATCCCTATAATACTTATGAGGGACATCGCTGCCAATAATACTTAGCGTAGTGTAGTGGGTCGGTTTTTTTCCCTAGGTATATCATAGGAATGATATTACTTGTGAATTTAAACAGTAATAATATTATATTATGACGCACGGCGCACTGTATAGGCAAAATTGCTACATAACTGTCATCTGGTCTACAACAATTCAGGTAGGTATCTCATAGCTCATAGGTTTATCGTATAATATGAAATAAATACCTAAATGAATGTATATTGTATAATAATCATTGGTATACGATAACATTATTATTATTATGATAGTATAGTACTAATGTAATGCGAGCAATGTAAAACAATAAAATTCATGTTTGTCACTAATTATAATTATTATTATTATTCCACAGAATATTTATTACATTCTTGATAAGACCTATTGTTTATTTTTGCGAACCAAATAAACCAATAAAACAATTTGACTATCTATAAAAGCTGTATCGTATCGACATATACGTTTTTTTGTATATATTTTTTATCATAGAGAATATGAATGTCCGGAGAATGTAACGATTAAATATTAAAAAACATAAATGCGTTCAAAAAAAAAACTCGGGTAATGAATTACAATTTAAAATATACAATAAAATGTACAAACATATATTATTTTTTAGGAGCCCGTATAGTTAACAGTCCCTTATAATTAAATCGTAGAGTATATTATTATAATAATAAAATATTACACAGTCATTCTTTGTTTTTTTTTTTTTTTTTGTCTTCTTAATAGGTAGGTGGTACTGCTATAATGGGTACTATGTTGAGAATACTAAAAACAAAAATGGCGTAACACATTATTTAAAACATGTAAATAAATGCAAAACCTATGTTGTAAAATATAGAATAATGTGCGGGGGTACCATTTTTATTCAACCTTGGATACCACAATTAGAATCTTCACAGTAGGTATACGAATAGCATTTATTAAAATGCATGGCCCTAAGTCTGTCAGTTTCTAGTCTAGTAAAATTATAAGTAAATTAGATTTTACTGACACTATTATATTGTGTTAGGTGTCCTGTACATAATATTTATCTGTACTCACGTCAGTCTATTTTTTACTGTTTTATTATGTATAGAAGTGCCCCACTTCGAGACAAGTGCATGTTATTAGAGTATTTCCGATTTCGATCGCTATATAAAATATATTAAACTTGTAATAATTTCATAAGACATAACATTGTTTCAGACGCTAAAAGAGATAAGATAAAACCTTCACCGCAATACTATGTCTCGTTAGCCAACACACATTCTTTCACATCACAGCTGCGATGTTGACGACTGAAAACAATTTTTATATAATATTATTGCCATTCCGTGTACGTTTTCTATATGGTACCTATCGACGGGTAATAATATTGTATTTTGAGTATTGTGAGTATTTCAATCTTTATATATATTTTTGCTTGGATAATGTCACTATAATTATTTATAGTGTTATTATATCGATGTTAGGACCAGTCCTCAAACGGGATTAATAACACTTAAACAATTAATCGAGCATCGTAAACTAACTATAAAATCGAAGTGAAAAGGGCGTAATTTTAGATTACCAGGACAAATGGTTAAATCTATATAAGTACAGTCCTTAATATTAATAGGTGTTTAATACTCTTCTAAATAAAACCTACGTTCTGAATTTTGTATTATTGGACAACATGTTAACTAAAAAAATACACAGTTAAGTAGGCACTTAGGTATAAATTATATTTTATGTATTTGTATACCTATTGTAGAGTTATATCAATGGATATTTTTTCCAAACATGTGAACCTCATGTCATTTTTCTTTTTTCACTGAGCAAAATAATTACTTATTGTGTACCTACTTAATAAAGATTGTAAAATATTAAAATAAGAAATTAATTAAAATGTTTAAACTATATTTGTATGAAAATATATTAACATGTAAAAATAAAAACTATAAAATATGTTTTAAATTTTTAACGTACAAATATTTTAATATTATATTTCGTTATTAATATAATTAATTGCTTCTGAATATTACACTAAATAAACACATACAATTAAAACACTTATTACACTTTAATACTTTATCGCTGTTTTGTCTTGATGCGATCACTGCTGAAAAACCAACTTTTGTCCACTCCTTCATCTTAAAATATAATATTATAGCTTAACCTAGTTTCAATTTAGCTACATCTTGTTTTAGTCGACTAAACTTACTGACTAAGACTTAATAGTTAATACCAAATTTTGTTTCATATTACATAAATGTTTTCTTAACCTAGTTAATAGTTTTAATTCTAATAATGTTTATGTATTACAACAGGTAGCAATATATAACTATGCATGATATAACAACTTAAGCATACAGCTAGAGTTTCGAATGTTCGTGAATGCTTAATTAGACAGGGTTCGGACAGGTAAACGTATATATTAATTACTGATGATACCACATCGATTGGATTTTAGTTTATTGTTATTTTTTTTTTTAATTTAGGTGTAAATTGTTCGACAAGAGTGGGTTTTGTTAGACCTGATTGAATATACACCATCGAGTGATTCGAGTGACGGCAATTCATAGAATTAATTAACTGAATATAACAGGCTACGGAATTTAAAAATAATTTTAATATAATAGTTGTTTAATTTGTTTGGTGACAAAGTCGAAAAATGTTTAAGCAATGTTTGAAACAATTGATCAAAATTATCATCATTGTTTGTATAGTATATATATGTTATGATATGTTGTTAATTATGTTCAAAATAATTTTATTAATTGTATTATATTATACATTTAAGTCACTTTTAAATATTAAATAATAATTTTTGATATTGTTATTCATATATTTTGGAAACTACTATATTGTATATGGTATATTTAATAGCAGTAGCATAGGCGTGCGCACGGGTAGGGCTGATTGGGCTTTAGCCCTACCTGAGCTTTTTTATACGTGGGTGGGTTGGTACCTTATGAAAACATGACTAAAAGTAGGTATATAGCATTTTTA